CTTCGGACACGTCGATCGAACCCTCCTCCGATTCCACCCCCCACGCGTCCCCTCCGGAGCGTGTGAGCGTACCCCCCTTCCTCCTCTTCCGCAAGAAATTCATGCCTTTCCTCGAATTCGGCCGCAATCCTGTCTTTCTCCTTCTCATATACCTCCCTAGCCGCGCGCGCTAGCCTAGCGTCTTCCTGAACCTGGTGCAACCGGTTACTCGATTCCAAGAACCTAGCCTGCGTCTCTGCTGCCGTGCGTGACGCCTTTTGATATTCAGTCAAAGGGACCTACTGGGGCGGAAGCGAGAAATGTTCTTGCGCCCGTGATTTTCTCGGCTTTTGGCGCGCGACCGTGACCCAAGGGGTCGAAGACTCTGACTGTGTGGGCGACTGCAAGGCTTCAAACCGATTAGACGACGGCAAGGGTGGCCATTCCTTGTCAAGGCCTCCTACCCTCCTTTCCCCTCGAGTTTCCATTGGAGATACTACCTCTTCCTCCTCAAACCCACTGCTGTTGTTGTCTTGTGGTTCAAGGGCGAGGCGCAAATCCGCTTTTCTTTTCTTTCTCTCCTCCTCTTATTGTTTCCTTTCTTTTTCTATCCTTTTTCTTTCTTTTGCTTCTGTCACCTCCTGTTCCTGCATGTCCATGGCCAACCCCTCATCATCGAGTTCTTGTTGCAACTGCTCTGAAGTCTTTCTATGGTAAAGGTACTCCATGTTTCCGTCAGGTCTCGGGGCAGCACGTGCTCCTTTTTGCATCTCAATCCGTTCCCCTCTGGTGGGCACCTCAACAAATCGTTGTTTTTCTTCGAATGACAAACTTGCCATAAAAGACTGCATCCGTGACNCCTCTTCCTCCTCCTTTTCGGCTGACTGAACTCGGCCTACCGCGATTTTATGTACTAACACATCGTCTTTTTGGCTGACTGAAGCCTTGCAGTCGCCCATACAGTCAGAGTCTTCGACCCCTTGGGTCACGGTCGCGCGCCAAAAGCCGAGAAAATCACGGGCGCAAGAACATTTCTCGCACCCGCCCCAGCAGGTCCCCTTGACTGAATATCAAAAGGCGGCACGCACGGCAGCAGAGACGCAGGCTAGGTTCTTGGAATCGAGTAACCGGTTGCACCAGGTTCAGGAAGACGCTAGGCTAGCGCGCGCGGCTAGGGAGGTATATGAGAAGGAGAAAGAC